CCACGCCCACCGCCCATTTCGGCTGGCGGTGCATGTCTTTGTGGCGCTTTGGGCGCTTAGTAACAACAGAATTTAACACCTTTTGATCGGCAGACAGCAAACGACCTGCGGGAGTGTCAGAGTGTGAGTGCGAGTGTGGGTGTGAGTGTTTGTGTAGTTATGGCACAAAATAAATTCCTGTAAGCCTTACTGAAGGGCACACACCCACACTCGCACACTCGCACATGGTACACCACCACCAAGGGAGACCCAGGGACTCGGAGACTGCGAGTCCGACTTACATATGCTCGTTATTCATAAACTTAATGCCAAAGAGAGCATAATTTTCATTTTGCCAGCGTTTCGGGTTTTGTTTGCCCCGTTTTCGGAGAACCACCACCCAAAGGCAGCGAACCACCCAAGAATGCACAGAGAAAAATAATTATTTTAGGTATTTTGATCCATTCAGTGCCACATACCAGATATGACAAGATGAGTAATATTTAAATGTAATTTATAATCATTTTAAAAAATACAAGCAGTAATTAAACATTTTTAAAGGTGCTATGATTTTAATATTATTATTTAATGGTATGACAAATTTTATAAAATATAAGAAATGTATTAAACATTTATATATTGCCACATTTAAAATACCAGAACATAAGGAATATTTAAAAGCAATTTATGATCATTTAAAAAATTAAACTATTTATTTAATTAATTTTTAAAGGTGCTGCGATTGAAAAATTATTATTTTATGGAATGGAATTTTGTGTATATTTCGTTTTAGATTTCTGGAAATTTAAAGAATGTACAAAAGTAGCATTAAAAGCATTTTTGATTTATTTGATATGGAAAACTTTATAAAAATATAATAAAAAATAAATAATAGTAATGCAAAATAATATCCCAGTGCAAAACTAAGGCACATAAAAGCCAAACATTGCCAAGAAACAGGCAACAAGGTGGCGATGTGAAAGGGGCGGAACGGGCTGCGGGAACAACAATAAACTTGTGTAGCAGCGTCGGTAAGTGGGAATTATATAAACATATACATCAGTGAGCAAACACTCACACAACCACCGCAGTACGCACACACACGCAGAATGGCAGCTGTTGCGGCTTCATATCGCCAAGAAGATCGCCATTCGCCATTCGCCATCGCAGCACACGCGGCGTATGAGTAATATGCGTAGTCGATGAGCCAACTGACTGAGTGACTGACTGACTGAATGACTAACTGAATGACTGACTGACAAACGGATGGCAGATGCGAATGATGTGCTCTCAATGCCAACTAAACAGAAATTGGTGGGAAATTTGTTGGGGTCTGTTTTTGTCTAGTGCTAACTTATAGTTAAATCTATAAGCTAAAAGTGGGTTTATTTTAGAGCTAAAGCAGCAAAAGGCCGTAAGCTCGCTTATGGTAATTTAGTAGTGATGAGTATTATTTATATTATATCTGATAGCCCTTTTTCGCCCTTTTTGGCTGCTATTAAGCAAGTAAGCGTCAGATCGAGGAATGTCATACCTCGTTGCTTAATTTGCAATCCATTGGCATTCAAACCTGGAAATTTTTGACTTTTCGAATTTTTTGCAAAAATAGACGATGCTCCCCCTTATAAAAAAAGTGAAATTTGGTCAAAAAATAAAATTTCCCTGAAAGTGATTGGGATCGTTAGCGTAGGAAGCAAGCTGTTCAAAAGAGTCGGTCTTTTAGCTGTACGCCTTCATTTAACTAAACTACGATTGAAAAACTGGAAATAAAAATCGTTTTTTTGACAAAAATGTGAATCTCGTATTTTTGACCAAAATCGGAATCCCATTTTTCGCCATAAAAATTCAGTTTTTTCGCTGCTACATAAAAAATAAACGTCAGATCGAGGAATGTCATACCTCGTTGAGCTCGTTGCTTAATTTCCAATCGATTGGCATTCAAACCTGGAAATTTTTGACTTTTCGAATTTGTTGCAAAAATAGACGATGCTCCCCCTTACAAAAAAAGTGAAATTTGGTCAAAAATAAATTTCCCCTAAAGTGATTGGGATCGTTAGCGTAGGAAGCAAGCTGTTCAAAACAGTCGGTCTTTTAGCTGTACGCCTTCATTTGACTAAACTACGACTGAAAAACTGGAAATAAAAATCGTTTTTTTGACTAAAATGTGAATCTCGTATTTTTGACCAAAATCGGGATCCCATTTTTCGCCATAAAAATTCCGTTTTTTGGCTGCTACATAAAAAATAAACGTCAGATCGTAGAATATCATACCTCGTTGAGCTCGTTGCGTAATTTCCAATCGATTGGCATTCAAACCTGGAAATTTTTGACTTTTCGCATTTTTTGCAAAAAAAGACGATGCACCCCCTTACAAAAAAAGTGAAATTTGGTCAAAAAGTAAATTTCCCTTAAAGTGATTGGGATCGTTAGCATGGGAAGCAAGCTGTTCAAAACAGTTGGTCTTTTAGCTGTACGCCTTGATTTGACTAAACTACGATTGAACAAGGAAGAACGCTATAGTCGAGTACCTCGACTATCAGATACCCGTTACTCAGCTAAATGGAGATATGCAAGCAGCAAAGCGAGATTAAAATGCGCCACCTACCGGCGGTATACAGATATAAGCGTTATGGGCGTTAGAGTGGGCGTGGCAAATTTTTTTTTGGATCAATCGATAGGTATCGACGAGACCAATACATTTCAGTTACAATTTTTTATCTAGCATGAAAATTGTGGGCGTCACAGGTTTTTGCGGTTTGTGGGCGTTAAAGTGGGCGTGGCAAACTTTTTTTTGAGTCAATCGATAGGTAATGACGAGACGAATACATTTCAGTTAAAATTTTTTATCTAGCATAAAAATTGTGGGCGTCACAGGTTTTCGCGGTTTGTGGGCGTTAAAGTGGGCGTGGCAAACTTTTTTTAGGTCAATCGATAGGTATTGATGAGAACATTACATTTCAGTTAAAATTTTTATTCTAGCATCAAAACTGTAGGAGCCACAGTTTTGGGCGGTTTGTGGGCGTTAGAGTGGGCGTGGCACTCTACTGAAACAAACTTGCGCTGCGCAGGAATCTCAGGAATCTGCGTGCCTAATCCCAGTATTGTAACTCTCATAGTTTCCGAGATCTCAGCGTTCATACGGACAGACGGACAGACGGACAGACGGACAGACGGACAGACGGACAGACGGACAGACGGACAGACGGACAGACGGACAGACGGACATGGCTAGATCGACTCGGCTAGTGATCCTGATCAAGAATATATATACTTTATGGGGTCGGAAACGCTTCCTTCTGCCTGTTACATACTTTCCGACGAATCTAGTATACCCTTTTACTCTACGAGTAACGGGTATAAAAACTGGAAGAAAAAATCGTTTTTTTACCTCAAAAACTAAGGTCTTTATTAAACAAGTTCATTTCAAACCAATGACTACAACTAGGTTTCTGTATTAAGGATTTCATTTGATTTAATTTAAAGAATTGCAATATGGACAAGATTGTTTTTTGATTACACTCTAACGAAATTGAATCACTTATGGCAATAAACTTGGAGGGATTCTCGTTGTTTCTGCGAACTCTCCGCGACTTTATGACCCCTGATAATCGCTTTCGCTGAAGCTTAAAGGTCTTAAGGTCAGGCAAATCAGCTAAGTGAAAGACCCCTTGAAGTCCCTTCCAGGAGCGGAGGACCCCCCTTTCCACATCCATGCATTTGAACCGGAGGCCAGAGCGACCCTGTCGTTTTCTTATCTGCTTGTCGGGGCATTCGCTCGATTCGTATTTCAATTATGCATTCCGGCAGCATGACCATGGATGCTGCAGTGCATCCCCCTTGCCCCCTTTTTATACCCGCCCCTGAACCAACCCCCCCCTTCCCATTAAAACCTGCTGCAGTGCACTGCAAACAGCAGGAAAATAAGAAGTACACAAGAGTGGGGCGAAATTTTCTGTTAGATTCCGCATTCCGGTCATTAATACGCCATCAACAGCTTCGGGGGGTATAAGGGGGGTTGCAGGGGTGGAGGGGCAACAGTTAGAAAGGGAGAGAGCATAGCTGGCCAGCATCGTACTCATCGTCATAGTCATAGTAATAGTCATAGTACTTTTCATCGCCACACACTGGGAAAAAAAAAAGAAAATTATTTAAGAATTCTAATCTTTCTAAAAAAATCCTGAACATTTTAAAATACTTGTAGGTTATAACAGTTTACCCCCTTTTTGAAAACTAAATAACGATTAAAAAATATTATTTTCACAAATCATTTTAATATTATTACAATATTATTTAAGCCCCTCAGTCTATTCTCATTACGATTTAAGAGTTTTAAAGTTTTATTTCAAGAACAAATCAATACGTCTCTTAAATAGCTTATACTACATAAATCTGTAGTTCAGAATATCAAATACAAAAATCATGGAATACAGGCTTACTTTTCTCCCTGTGCATCATCATGGGCACGTCAGGTTGGCCGTGCTGCCTCAGTTAAATTTTTGTTGTCCAGCAGACACGCACGGACGGACTGTCGAAATGCAGCTGGAAAATCCACCCACCTGCCACCCCCACAGCACTGGAAAATGGAAAATGCGAGTGTCCGACGCTGTCGTTGTTGCCATTTGGTCTGTGGAAATGTTGCACGCACGGTCGCGCACCTGAGTGAAATAAGTTGAAATGCTAATGATGGCAAAACATTCAAATACCGGGGCTAACGGTCCCCAGATAAAGCGGCGCTACGATACGGTCCGAATCGGTGCAATTGCTACCGAGTTTATTTTAATCCGGGTTTTCCAGAATTTGAGTAAAGATTTGTTCTTTCTATTGTCGGTTTTTTGATATTTTTGCAGGGAAGTTTATAAGATATGATGATCATTTTGGGGGGGTACGGGGGGTATCACTTTTATATGTCGCCATTATGCTTTTTCATCTCTTTTTTCTGTTTCGGAGAGTTTATATTTTTGATGGTGTACCATGCGAGAATGTAAATATTAAACGTTTTTTCCTATAACAAGTGGCTTGATTCATTTCCTTCAAAAGTTGTACCTAGTTTTCTATTTATTTAGTGTACCAGTTAGTGAAATATGGAAGAAAGGTCTTCAACTGAGGAGTCCTGTCCCGAAAAGCAGGCAGCCATCTGTCCCGTGGCCGATTGCCAGGCTGTGGTGAAGCACACCCATTTGCTGCGCCACATGATCAGCGAGCACTTGGACCCGCGGCCGCGAACTTTGCCCTTTCAACTGCGCCTGCGCGAAGTGACCAGTGGCCAGCGCACCCTGCTGATGCTCACCTATCGCCAGCTGATCGTCGATCATGACCAATGTCTGGCCGTGCTAAACTGGAGTGCCGATTCGCCCTTTGACCTGATGGAACCACAGTTGGATCTGCCGCCCTGCCACCAAGGTTTGACCTACCATCTGCCCATTCTGGTGATGGTTTGCCGAACCACCTGGAAGGCTCTGCTGAAGCAGGAGGACGAAAAGGTGACCCCGAATTCCAGAGACTTAACCTCGGAATGGGGCACTGTCTATCTATTGTGGCTCGTCTCACCCTACACAAGACGAGCTATCTATGCCAATCTGGCTGTTTTGAATAGCCAGCTACAGGGCATTGTGCGAAGGAATCGCCGACGGATTCAGAACTTTGCCAGCCGGATGCCCATCAGCCGCTTTATCAACGGACTGGATCCCTTCTTCGTCAGCCTCAACGAGGATCAGCTGGACGAGCTGTGCGATGGCGACGGCGATCACTCATCGGTGTTCCTGGAGGTCACCATCGAGGGGGAGGGGCAGTAAAAATCACTTCTTTAAATTAAAAAACATATATTTCAATATTAGAAAATTTCCATAGACATTTAATACTAAATTTTAAGTTTAAATGAGTCTTCCATATCATTCCATAAATTCCAAATCGAAAATAATAAATTACTTGATAAGTTTTATGGCTGGCATTCTAATTTCTTTGTCAGGCTTATAAAAATATTTTTAAAAATAATCTGAAACGACAATATTGTGTTTTTAATATTTGCAAATGTATGCAAATTATCGTCGAGGCCAAAAGTAATCAACAACTTTCGAGTGTCCCTGAGCCCTTGCGGCTCATCTGTTTCAGTTGTGGCCATGTGGTTAATAAGTTCAAGCCAATCTGGACTGGGGCGTGGTTCACTTTGGCACCTTGGCACAAATTTGGCATCGGTTTATGGCCGGGCTCGCATTATTGATTCCGCTTTGCCAACTTTATTGCCCCTTTTTCTGCCTGATTTTTTTCCGAGGGCATCACTGTTTTTATGGCCCAAACAGACACCGGATTCCTTGAAGCTGCAAATGTGCCATAAATTGTTGTCCTTTATGTTTTTATGTCCTGGCAGTCAGTCGACAGGATGGCCGCAGAAGGGAGATCAAATCAGATCCGATCCAAGTTGGGAGTTTTAAGTGATTTTCCATGTCCTCGTTGGGGTTACGTGAACGAGCAGCTAAGCCAGAGATTTTGGTCATTGAAATTGTTGCTAATAGATAAGGAATACATTACTATGTTATTTTAGAAATATAAGTTATACTTTTATACTTTTTAAGAGAATTCTGATTAATCCTGAACTGGTATTTAGTACTTGCCTTCGAAAGCACATTTCCCAATGAAAAACTAATCGCAAAAAGTAGAAATCAGACACAGGATAATGCTAAATATCCAACTACAATAGTTACCAGGCAACCAAAGGTGAGTTGGGTGAGGAAAATGGAGAAAATCTATGGAATTTTTCCCCCCTCCTCCTCTTAAATAGCCAAAGAGGTAGCTGGTAAAAGAAATACAAAAAAAAGTGGAGCAAATAAAATGGGGAAAAGGAACGAGAGTAGACAATGGCAACTGCCGGGATGTGGGCGACTGCTACTTGAGATCCCAATATAACGCGACGACATGTTTACGATGCATTTGTATCTGGGCATAGCACCCCCTAACTTCCCCAGCCTCATCTTCATGTTTTGTATGCTCACATGTTGGCATTTTCATTGAGCAGCGGGGATGGATAAAAAAAAATAGAATGAAGGGAAATGAAGGGAAAAAAGAATCAGTAAAGTCGGCGCAAGGATTTCAAATTCCCATTCCATCCATTCACCAAAACCTCTGGACTGTCCGTCCAGCTGTCCGTAACTCTGTCCGTAAGTCTGTCCGTCCGTCTGTTTCCATACGTGTGCGTGCTCCAAAATCGAGAAACATCCCTTGGGTGGGGCAACAACGACAACGATGAGGACACATAAAGGCTAAATTGGACCTGAATGTGCGCCGTGGAAGACATTGGCCGGCCAATGGACAAACACTCAAGTCATGTATCCCACCTCCAGCATCCCCCTCCCTAAAAATACTTGGATATCTGGCCACCGCCGAAGCCTATTGAATTGGAAAACTCAATGGATATAACCATTCAATTGCGTCCTACAAGTGTATAATTACGCCTCGAAACGGAAAGGTGGGAGTCCACCGAGCCCGGCTATTTGGATATGGCCCATCTCAATCCCGAACCGAATCCGTTGCCACATCTCCTGCCACCCAGAACGTGTTAACACGAAGGCTGAAACGTGTGCTCTTGGCCAAGTGAGTGGAAGCCATCAGGGCGAGTCGTGCCGCCTGTCAAAAGTTTTTGTTTCTATTCTGTTTCTGATTCTGATTCCCTTTCCCAGCAATGATAGTTTTTCGGGTGGGTAAAGGACCCAAGGTCAAGTATGATAGAATTTATCAAGTCTTATAAAAAAAAACTTTTAATAACCATAGGTTATAGTAATCTTAACTTTAACTGACTAGAATAAAATAATTAAAATCACTTGGAATAGTGCAACATATATATTTTAAAACATAATTAACATATTAAATCATTTTTAAATATTTGGAATATAATATTCTAACTGGGTATTTAAAAAATGTATACCCCATATACCTAGTAACTTCATAGTTTCGGCTATACCTTTTTGTTGCAGTCAAATGTGGAGATGTTTGGAAAACAGACTCGCCATTTCTGGACAACTCTGGCCGAGATGAAGACGCTATTCTGCCCCCGAGGGGCCAACAGTCCAACAAAAGGACAAACTGAAGACAGACATACAGATACAGATACAGAAAGCGGGGGATTGTCAAGTGGGCAGCTGGCCTAAAAGGTTGTTCCAACTAAATGAGGGAGCTTCAAGGCTGTGCCTGTGGGCCACATGAGCTAAGCTCGAGTGTGAGTGAGATCTTTACCCTCGGAAAATGATTTTCTTCGGACATGGGTTTACCAACTTGAAAGGCACTGGTTAAAAATTAACAAGAGTCCTGTGATCATATTGGGTAAAAATAATCAATAAGTGGACGACAAATCTTTTGGTCATAATTCACACACACTTAACAAAAATATATGTTATATATGTTGTATAATAAAATTGATTTAGAAATGCTATTATTTTTATATTATTATACGATATATTATTATTATGATACAATTTGCTTTACAAGTACATGTGAAAAATCTATCTGGGTAATACTTTTTGCGTAGGAATATATATTAATATTAAAATATGTATAATCATCCATAAGGGCCCCGAAATTTCTTTCAGTGCACCAAAAAGTGGACTGGCATGGGAGGTTGAAGTTCGTCATCGAGCACTGGCATAATTGCTGGACAGAATTCACATGGAAGGTGCACTTGAGCGGAGTGCTCATTAAAGGTAGATGCTCCAAAGTTCGAGTCGATGACACGGTCGAAGGCATTTAAAGCGATATCCCCCCCACCACCAAACCTTTTGAACTTCGAACTTAATGCACATTTAAATGCTGGCACTTGGTCGCAGTCTGTTTGGCCAACTTTTCTGCTGACTTTTTAGACTAAAAGTCAAATATTTCATTTGGAAATTCCTAGCGACGAGGCGAGAATGAAATGTGAAAATTTCACCCACTCACACACACACATAGAGATGCGACTCCCCCATTTTTCTAACCCCGTGAAGGCCACCCGAAAAACCGCCCACTTTGGCGGCTGCTTAAAAACTATAAATTAAGTTTACAACTTTTCCGCAGAAACTTTTTTTTTTTTGTATTTTCCTCACAGCTACTGTTATTTTCGCTGTTCTATCACAGTGTGACAAAATGGCATTGTCAGCCCGGAATTGGAATCTCCGTCGCTGTTTCTCCATTTCTCCGTATCTCTGGCTTTCTCCATTTCTCCAACTCTCGCCATCTCTCCATCTCTACCAAATGTATGTCAAGTGTTACCAAAAGCAACTTTGACATCCATCATTTGGCATCTGTGGCACTTGTTGACCTTTGTTTGCAACACGACACAAACAAGACTGCGAAGAGAAAGTCGGGTGGAAAATAGAGGTGAAAATTGGGGAGTGGTAGGTGCAAAAAGGGGGGGTTGAGTTCTCATTCCACCTGACAGCTAATCAAAATGTCGCACAAAGTTCATTAACAACATTTTCCAGTCAATTGTCTTGTCAAGCGAGAGAGCAGGGGGAAAACTCTGGCAAATAGAGAGGAAAACCTGAGACAGCTAGCACATTTCTGCAGCTATGTATTTATGTTTGCACCTGCCGGGGGAGGGGGTGGGGCACGAACCCACCCACTTACCACCCACAACCCCCCTTTTCAAGTCGTTGAGGTCGGCGGCTCACTTTATTAACAACTTGGCATAAAGTTGTTTGTCTTTCACCTCGGCGTGTCGATGACATCACAGTGAGGAAATGGCACAGGAAAATCGAGGGGGGGGGGGGGGTGTATCCTCTAGAAGGTGGAGTGCAAATTTATTGCCAGGCAAATCAAGTAAACTTAACGAACTGCCCCAAAGGCACAGACCCACAGACAGCCGTCATCTGGTTGGCCAAAAATTAGAATTTCAGGTGAGAGCCATTTCCGGGAAAAGTACAAGTACCTAGATGGGCTTTTCTTACGAAGGAATCTATTGAAACAATTTTAATTTTTATAAAATAAAATAAATTATTTGTTTTAATAAAGAAACCAAAGACAAGCCAGAGAACTTTTAGAACTGTGTACCCAAAAAAAGACTATATACAATTTCACATTATTGCTGAAAGCCCCAAAGAACTTTAAGAACTGTATACCCCCCAAAAAAGACTACATTTAACTTGATTATATTTGAAATGTTTCGATGCCAAGCAATATGATTTCTCCAGAACTATAGCAAATATTTCTTTAGCTGAGCTAGTTTTCCCCAAAGACGAAGCCAACAACATATACACCATTCTCATGGCATTTTCTCCATTTCCAAATTGAATTTTCGCAACGGTTAGGAACTAACCGTCGGCCAAGGGTGTAAAAATCAATCAAACAAAACGGACTGACACTTGGACAGACGATTAAAGGAAATGCGGAGCGGGAAAAGCTCGGGGAAACTCGATATGCAAGTAAACGAAAACCAGACTTTGGGCAAGACAGATGGAAAACCTTATGGATGGGCTGGGAAAGTTGGAAAATGCTGGGAAATAAGAGGGGATTCTGTCATTGTTTCGGTCAAACGCACAACAACAGAGCGTTAAATTCACACAAAACGAGCAAAGATGAGTCCGATTTTGATTCGGAACCCAAGTCCTTGGGAAGCCATTCAAGCAGATCCTAGAAATAGTTCGACAAAAAACTGCGACAATGGCAAATTTTGAGAACTTGTGCAAGGGATTTTAATTTCTTAATAATTTTTTCTATATATACCATTTTTAATTAAAATGTTCCTATCATAATAGCACATAAAACTTAAGTTTTTTAGAACTTAAAATGCAAAACATTGCGTTTCGTTGAGTCCACAATACAGACTTTGTATTCAAATTACTTGGCAACTGATTTCGTAATTGACAGGGAAAAAATCGTATAAAAACGGGAAAGCGGTGGAGTTTGTAAAACTGATTAACGCAGTTTTCCTCCCTTTTTTTGCAGCACTTAGCCACTTTTAAAGGCAAAGAGAATGGAGGACGTGTGTGTGTGTGAGTGTGTGAGTTAGACCAATATTTTTATGCAGGCCATTAGCAGCATAGATTATTTTTGCATATCAAATGGCCAAAAGGAGTTTTTCCGCACGCCGCCCTTCCGCTTTTCACCCGGCCTTCCACCCGCTTTTCCCCATTTTCCACAGCACTCCAGCCGAGTGAATGAATCCTTCAGAGCGGAGGACACGCACAAAAGCGCAAGCAAGGCAAACAGGTCAAGGATATTATGCATATGTGAGTAGGCAAAACGAAACAAAGGGGGTGAGTGGGTGGTCGAATGGGTGGCTGGATGGGTGGTTAGTGGGTGGTGCATGGGTGGTGCACGGGTGGTGCTGCAAGGAGACCCTCATTTTGGCTGCCATTGTCACCAACAGTCGTCTGCTGCAGCGTCATCTTCATCTACATCGTCATTGTTGTTCGCCACTCGAAAGTCGCACAAATGAACGCGTAATTGTTTGCACATGAATACATTGAGTAAATATTTGCAAACACATTCAGCATTCCACCCACACCCAAACGCCCACCACCGCCCACCACCCATCTATACCCGTCACGTTTTCCTCGATTTTCCTCCGATTTTCCCCCGATTTTGCAGCCGGCTTTCGCCTCGCTTTTCCTCGACTGCATCCTGAGCCCGGCTGAGCCATCATCATTTGCATGCCGGGGCAAAAGACTTGAATTGCATTGCCAAGTCAAAGAAGGCCTTAATCTGCTTACCTTGCCTCGGTGACATTTCTTTTCACAAAAAAACACCCCCCCTCCCCCCAAAAACCCCCATGCAAAACCAGCCGGGAAAATGGAAAATCGCTGGAAAAGTTGCTTAGCTTGGCAGGGCTTTGCTTTAATTACGGCGTCCCCGACTTTGAGAGCATAAACAAATTGCAAATTGTTTATGGCATGCAAATTAATCAAATCTCTTTCTCAATTAAGCCTGCAAGCCAAGAAGCCGGAACCGAAGGAATTGCAATGGGAGTGGAGTGGAAATAAAGATGGGAAAATATGGAAGTCGGATAGGCAAGTGAATCGACAGATGGCCTGGGAAATCTGAAAAACATCGGAAAATGGGAAAAATTGTCCAGAGAATGCTTGCTTTCTTCTACCTCTCTTTCAATTGTTTACAGAAAAATGGATACTCAGTAAATACAATTCAACAAATTAAGGATTGGTTTTGAACTGGTTAATAGTATCACAACCTTTTTAAAAATCACAACACCTCATTGTCCATAATATTAAAATAAAATACAAATAGTTGTAGATGGCCGGGGAAAAAGAGGGTTTTTTCAATACACCCCCTTATCTTCACCCAATTTTATGCACATGATCGAGTCGACTTTTTGAGAAGCGCCGAGAGGGGCGCTAAACGTTGTCGTTTTGCCGTTAAATAATTTATGATTTTGAATGGCCCTTAAGTGAATATTTGCAGTGGGTTTGGAAAAATGGGAAAAATTGTCCAGAGAATGCTGGCTTTCTTCTACTTCTCTTTCAAGTGTTTACAGAAAATTGGATACTCGGTAAATACAATTCAACAAATTAAAGGTTGGTTGTGAATTGGTTAATAGTATCACAACCTTTTTAAAAATCACAATACCTCATTGTCCATAATATTAAAATTAAATACAAATACTTGTAGATGGCCGGGGAAAAAGAAACACAATGAAAAATAGGATAAATATTCCGGGGAATGCTTGCCATTTTTTATCTCTCTTTCAAGTGTGAACAGAAAAATGGATTCTCAGTAAATAAAATATTTTTTAATTGTTAGTTATTAATAATACCTCATTACCCATAAATAAAAATAAAAAACGTATAGTTTCCATTACAAAAGCTGACCATCGATGATCCAGAAAAGAACGATTCGCTGCGCAATTTCACTCACATGCAATTAAATTCGCCCAACTCAGTAATTTGGAGCTGGGAAGTTTCCATTTCGCAGCCCGAGGGGAGCCAACTCATGTAATTGAGTGTAAACTTGTCAGAGCATTTATTTAATGCCTAATCAAGTGATGTATAACACATGACTTACCCACTTCGCCACCTTCAATGGACCGGGCTGCCATGGGTTAAAAGCTCTGATGGGTTAAGGGTGATTCGGGTTTTCCGGGGGGGAGCGGGGCGAAAAGAGGGTTAGGTTAAAGTGTCAGTTGTAGCTTGTCAAAGTTGTGTTGTCCAATTAGCATAATTTCTTGTCTCAACTTTAGCCCAGATGCAACAGATACGGATGCGAAAGTATCTACGACACATCTAAATTGCCGGATGCCCGGAATTCGCTTAAAGTTCCCATTAAATCATTACAAAAACTTCTCCCTGGGCGGGATGCCATTTTCTGCCCAGATGGATTCCCTCATTAAAGAATAAATTGTAATTATTTTAGATGGCCCAGCAGAACAATTAATCATTGGGATCTTGTTGGGATTATGGGTGTGTGGCGAGTGTGGATGAGTCAAGTGTCTGTGAACTATCTAAAACAGTTATATGTTGAAGTTTTCTGGCTCTAGACTTAAGGATTCTCTTTAAAAAGATAAATGTTGGTTATGAACCAATAGATACAACAGATTCATGAGATTTTATAGTGGTTTGATTAGCTTTATACGAATTAACTGATTACTGTTTTTGAAGATCTGTAAAATATATTTAAAAATGTATTATAATGACTTTTATATTTTTACACAGATCTTAAAAAGTATACAAATTGTTATTATTATTTCAAAATCATTTTATAACTTGATTATAAAGGTATAAGCAATATAATAGGAAGACGTTTTAAAGTGTGACAGCTAGAAATGATTAAAAAATAGTAAAGCTGAAATAATTGTGGATCCTTTTTCTGATAAGCAACACTTAAGGATTCAAAATCCTTTCTCAGTCCCCGTTTTAAGAATGTTTCTCACCACCACCCCCTGCACAATTAGTGGCCATTAGCGATTTTAGGCAGGCGAAAGAGAAAAATCAACAGCTGGCGAAGAGCGAGCCAAGGTCGTTCGCCGGAAGGGCGCTCTTCGGTGTGGGGAAAATCGCTGGGAAAACTCACCACGGCAACGAGGATTTTCCGAGGCGACGACGAGGGCAGCGCACGAGGCTTTTCCGTGCGGCATTCAGTCTCACGTTGAACTCTGCTGCTGTTTGTTGTCAGCCGGCTGGTGAATTGACCCCAGAACACAGAAGCCATCCGATTTGGCCAACTGAGCTACTCAGCCAGCCGAAGGACGAAGGACTAAGGACCACGACCACCACAATTCGCGACGTGTTGTTAAAGACCAGAAGCCAGAGACCAGGAACCAGAGACCTCTCTGGCCCTCAAAAGTGTCCTGTGATCGCGTGACGATAATTGCTTGTGTCTCGTGCTTAAATAAATAGAAAACTCTGGAAAAAAAGAAAAAATAAAACCAAAAACAACAGTGAAGTTCGCTGATCTCTGTGCGCGCTGTTCCATTATTTTCGATTTTTTTTTTTGTTTTTGTTTTGTTTGCCGGCATCGAGCACACACCCACATACACACGCAGTGATAATGATGGTGATGAAAATTCAATAACAAGTGAATGCAACAAATGCGCATGAAATGAAAAATTTGTCCACACAAGTGTGAAAAACCGAAAAAGTAAAAATCAGATAAAACTGAGATAATCAGCGAGCGAGCGAGGCGAAGCCAAAAACCCAATCAACCAAATAAGCTGAGGGGAAAAGTGCTCAGAGAACGGTTAGTAAACACAAATTGTTTGTTTTCGTGGCTTTTTCGTGTGTTTGCCTTGAATTGAGGACTATTTTCTTAGTGGCTGATAAACATGGAAAGGCGAAAAAGGCCAATGGGAGTGTGTTTTTTCAATACACCCCCTAATCTCCACCCATTTTATGCACATGATCAAGTCGACTTTTTGAGAAGCGCCGAGAGGGGCGCTAAACGTTGTCGCTTTGCCGTTAAATATTTTATGATTTTGAATGACACTTAAGTGAATATTTGCAGTGCGTTTGGAAGCCGTTTTTTGAAATAAATATTTTAAAGATAAAGACGTAATTTAATAAAACGTGCGTGGGTATTATATAAGGAAAATTGGGGAACAAATTGAAAAAAGTAGATTGAATAGATTTATAATTATTATTATATTGATTATTATGATTGATATTTACTTTGATTTTAGTTTTGTATTTAAGACACATTTATATAAGTTAGTTTTTATTTTTAAGCTTAACATTATCTGCCATGAATGATTTATTTTTATTCCTAACCTTTTTTTTTATAAAAATCCAAGTTTCTAAGATATGGAAATAGTCGAAACAGGAGTAATCTCGCAGAGTACAACAATACAAACTGGATATGTTAGGTTGAGTATAAGTAAATATTGGATAACACTTACCCGAATGGCAGGAGGAACTTTCGCTTTACCAAAATTATTAGCAAGCTGTCAATGGCTTTGCTCCATTAATGATAAATTCCTCCTCGAACAAGTGTTGGTCAAGGGTCCGTCTCTTTATCTGGGGAACCCAAACGATGACAGTTCATTTTCCGAAGCTGCCAGGCTAATCAATTCCGGCACCAGAACCCCACGATAAGCAGTTGTAAATCAGGCATTCATAAATAAGGAATTGTGGAAAATAAGTGACTCCATCAGGCAGTGAAAACTATTCTCATTCCCGGTTCTCGGCCCGGAAAGTGTGACAAAGCGGCGGAGGCCAGGACAGGACAAGGACCTACATGATTTATAAGGCACATTAAATTGAATATTCAACATAATGTAGCATTTAAATGACCCACGCACAGCGCAGAGAGCAGGGAAATGTATATATATTATATGGAAAAGTGGCAAAAGTCGGCCTTGAAGGTCATCGCAGTGGTTTCCCAAGGAGGCAAGGAAGCTGTCTTTATGGCTGACTCTTTGTCATATTGTTTAAATGCGAAAATCGCTTAAAGTTTCGCCAGCGATTGAATTTCTTTCGCAGGGAGTGGAGGCTCTTCCTCAAAAAAAATGGCAAAAATATTCGCACACTTTGCGTTCGCGCGTGTGTGTGTGTGTGGGGGAAAGTAATTTACCAACACAGAAGCAGCGAAAGCATCATAAATCACACGTTCTGCCCAACTACAACTACAGAAAGTGACACTCGCTGGGGGCGGTAAGGCGGTGGGGGCGCGGTGCGTTACGTGTCCAGGTCAAATGTCAAAAGTCAGCCAATTTGGGCAACATTTTGACAGACACTGCGCTTAGCCGCCGGCGGGCTGTTCATCATTGTGCAACACTGCCAACCGATTATCGCAAGGGCGCGATGAGTCACTCCAAAGGCACATCCCCTGAGGATTACCCGAGGTTCGGAGGCCCTTCCATCACCAGGGATTACTTGAATTCACCAACGAAAGGGAATTTCTGGGCCGCTTTACAGGTGAAAGTTTATTGGAGAAGACATGCGTTCTCTTAAGACTAAGTGTTGGTAAGCGACGTTTTTTCAACTTCAATGAAACTAGCCTTCAAATATAATCAAAACTGTATGCTAACGTATTAGCATAAAGAGTTTTCAAACAAAAGTTTATATTTAAATAAAATGAGAAAAGTTTCCTAACTAGAATTAAAATTCAATCCACTGTTAAAACATTATTATCATTCATTTCAGTTATGACACTGTCAACATAATTGATATTTCAACTTTTTTGCTGCAGAATTTCATTAACAAGTTAAAAGAGTTTTGCCAATCACTAAAACTTTTAGTGTTGATATTCCAGCAGCAATAACTTTGTTTAGTATTTATTAGTCATCAATTCTAAAGAGCTGAAAGTGTGTGAACTAAATTATAAAATTATATAATTTTCGGGATTTTAAGAGCTTTCTATTCTTGGAATACATATAAAAGCATCCAAATTTCCCATTAACTTTCGAGGGACTCTGGTATGGCCAATAATTCCTTTGCCAACCCAAGATAATCACTCCATGCCAACCCCTTGACCCGCAAATCATATTTCCCGGCCGTGGATTTATGGGCTGCCTTCCTCTCGCTCTCTCTCTGGGAAAATGTATGGCTCTGGGTTAACAAGATGTTTATAAAAATGATATTACGATTTACCTAACCCACACGAGGACACGCACAATGTGTGAAATGAAGAATGAAGGGAATGGGGGCCTTTGAGGATCCAAGGCCATTAGACAACGCATTAATCTAATCATATGAGTTCCTCTGTGTGTCTGTGTGCCAAAAATCATGAACTCAAAAATGGTGGCCCAAAAAAAAAAAACAAGAAACATTTGCAAGTTGATTTATAAGCGCGCTGATGTCAGTTACGTGCAAAATGGCAGCAAGTTTTTGGCCCCCGCACGCACTCAACAATGTTGCGAGCATGGGTTAAGCGAGAGGGGCTAAAAAGGGGGAGGCAGGTGGGGCGGGCTTTTGTGTTCGAGGGGTGAAAGGTTACCAGCGGGGATTTGCCAGAGTCGGAGCCAAAAGCAAAAGCATTGCGCAAATTGCTTGCAACACTTTTTGTGCCATTCACCCCTCCGACTTTCTCTGCTGCTTTCCCCTTGGCTGCCTTGGCTTTTATAAATCGTTTAGACACCAGCTCCATTCCCTGATTTTTCCACCCACCTGAATAACAACAGAAAAGCGGTGGCGACAAGTCACCGGAGTCAAAAGAAGCCCGAAAAACAGGAAGCCACTCCCGGTCCCGTTCCCATACCCGCATGCCCTTTGACCCCGCAGCCCTCCATTTTCCAGGCGCCACTCAAAACACATCCATCAACAGCGTATTTATATGCGAGGCAAAAGGTTAAAGGTGTTTTCTTTTTTTTTTTTTTTTGCCTCCTTTTCTCTGGATACAGAGAATCCAGAGCCCAGAATCCGGGAGAAGAAGGCTCCTAATTGTCAGGACTTTGCTTTCAGCTTCAGCTTGTTTGGCCCCTTGCATACTTTTGTGCGCTCGTCGCGTAATGAAGATAATTGCTGCTAAGCGGATCCTGCAGGATTTCTGAGACACCTCCGCATTCTCACACCTCCGGAAAAGCCTTCACCCCCCAGCCATTCATAAAATCTACAATGTTTCTGGCGGGGATTTCCCCTTTTAAGAAGGCAAAGCCGGAGTCCCAGCTACCATTTGCTTAATTTTCATTTAGACCTTGTTAATTTCGAAGCCTTTTCTTCATTAACCAAAATATAATGTTAATGGCTATTAGTTTTAATTTACGTGACTAGGAATATTTTTTTTAATATTTATATAATTAGGTAAAAATATTTTTTGTCACATAGGTACTTTATAATCATACGTATTTTGATCTTTTAGCTAACTAATTATTTTTAGGGGTTTCCATGTATTTTTTGTTAAGTATGCTTAATTTTCATTTAAGCCTTGTTTTTTTATGCATTTTCTTGATTAACCAACGTATAATGGGTAGGACCACTTTTTAATATTTATAGAACTAAGTGCTCATATTTTGTATACCATACTTTATTCTTATAGATATTTTTATGAGAGCTTTAGCTTATAAATTGTTTTCAGCGACTTACATGAATTTTTGTTAAGTTTGTTAATTTTAATTTTCAGCTTTTTGGTACTTTACCTGGCTAGGGATATTTTTTCATATTCTTAATCACCTATTTTATTATTATATATAATCCTGTTCGAGCTTTTAGCTAATTAATAATCTTCAACGGCTTGCATTTACTTTTTGTTAATTTTTCCAGGGAGGCAGTGGAAAACAACTTTTAAGTTTTCCCAAGTTCTTAAGACAGCCATTCTTGATAACTCGGTTATTAACTCAGTGTTAACTTCAGTTTTCCACAAGTTTGCGGAATTTCAGTTTCCCAAACAGTGCTCGGAAAACTGCCAGAAATTAAGGATACCAATTTTAAATGTTCGCTAAGCCCTATTTAAGAATTCGCATAGCTGCAGCTGGCGTTTCACTATTTTATTTCCCTAAACCTCCTCCTTTTTTTTTAGTTGCTTACTCATTTAGCCGTTTTTAATTTGCCCGGGACGCAGGCTTTCCTCTTGGAACAGCATCTCTGGTTGCTTTTAGCGAGGAGGACCTGCATTAATTAAATTCTTTCAGGTGTTAAAAGGTGTTGAGTCTGCAGCTATTGTTGGTGCAGGAGTAGAGGGGATGGGAGTTGGGAAGGTGGCTAATTGGTAAATGCTCTCAAGTGCCCCGGCTAACGAGGCGTATGCGTAATGCGAACAAAGTCGGAAGAGGCTGTGTTTTCCATCCAATCAGTGGAGCAACATTTCCACCATGGATCACTATTTGAGCTCTGCTAATCTCAAGCATAAATCCTTGTTGATTTGCTTTGCATATTTTAGGATTTCGAAGAGAAAAAATTAAAAAACAGTCGCAAAATTATTGCGACAGACGTTAACATTTATGACCAAAAGCAGGTAATTGTTTTCTTTTTTCACTTTCACATTTCTTCCCATTTTCCCCTGCCTATTTTCTACTTTATTTTTTGCTTCATTTGTTTTGCTGTTTTCAGTCTTCTGCCCTCCCGTTTGTTGGCATAAATTTATTGTGTTCGCCCGCCTCACGCATTTGCATAAATATTTTAATTTGCATTTCAACGAACATGAAAAGCGAAGCGAAGCCAAGCCTTAAAATCCATGTACCCAGAAAATAAATACAAGTATGTGTACAAGACTGAAAACTGAATGAAAAAATAATAATCGCTGGCAAGCTATATGTAATCAAAGAGTTACAACTATCTAGTGATTTTATTTATATATTTTCATTTGCG